TTTGGATAAAACAAAACCTAGATTATGGTGCAGCCTTCGTCTTTGCGCAGACATCTGTGTCTCAAAGGAAACAACAGCAGAGTATGGGGACCCCGCCCTTCACGCAGCGTAGGCCAGGTGGGCTGGGGGCTCCCAGACAGTCACGCAGAATCTCCCCTTTCATCTCTGCCCCCACGATGTCAGCTCCAAACCAGTCAAGCTTGTGATGGTGAGCGCGCCCAAGACGCGCGCCCAAGCGCTTCACCTACTTCTTCACGCTCGGGTGAAGGGAAGCCAGGCTTGGCCTGCACCCCCAGCTGGCTGGCCCGAGTGCAGGCGGGCTATCTCCGCACAGGGGACGCTGCCACGGAGCCCTGCACTTCTGAGTAAGGAATTTGGCTTCAGGCTTCCAGAAGAGACCTGTCAGGCAAAATCTTCGAGTCTAAGAAAGTGAACAAAGCCAAGGACATCTGAGGAGGAGTGGTCAGGTACAGGGTCACACTATTGCTGCCCAGTAACCAGCTGGGTGTGGGGAACGCAGGGTGGGGACATGCTGATGGTGGGGCCCTGGCCTCCCATAGCTGCGCACCGGGACGTTTTCAACGTTGTAGTGGACTCCAGTATTCCAACCACGTCTCGTTTCCCCAGTTTGCAGCGTAAGCCCTCTTTAGAGGAACTGGCGGTTTAGGAGAACTGTTGAAATTACTGCTCCTACAACTGCTTCCTTTCACATCTTTCAGTTTGCACCACATTCACTGGCAGCTGCTGAGGTCTGCACAGAGCAGGGACTTCCTGCATCATGAAAACTCTCAGGGCTGCCCTGCTCCTCTGGACAGTGGCGGCATGTGCTGAGACAGACGACCCTCTGGAAGAAGTGGATGAAACTGGATTCCAAAAATGCCGGGATGCTTTGAAACTGCCTGTCCTGGAAGTCCTCCCTGGAGGAGGATGGGACAATCTGCGGAACATGGACATGGGACGAGTGATGGCCCTGACCTACACTCACTGCAGGACCACGGAGGACGGCCAGTACATCATCCCCAACGAAGTGTTCACCGTTCCCCAGAAGCAGAGCGCGCTGGAGATGAACTCGGAGATCCTGGAATCCTGGATGGATTACAAGAGCAGCACCTCCTCCTCTATCAACCTGGACATCTCCCTTTTTTCCAAAGTCAACGGCAAGTTCTCTGCCGAGTTCCAGAGGTTGAAGACCCTCCAAGTGAGGGACCAGGCTTTCACCACTCGAGTTGAAGTCAGAAACGTGATCTACACAGTCAAAATCAACCCAGCCTCGGAGCTCACCTGGGAGTTCAAGAAGGAGCTCCTGGACATCTCCGA